ATCTATCTCATTTTCAATACCAACCAAATTTTGAAGCTGTTGGCTGCATCGTGATTTCAACGGACAGACGGACATCGTTAAATCGACTAAGAATTTAATGCTGATTATGAATATATATTTTAGGGGATCTACAACGAATTTTTAGGGATGTTACAAACGGAATGACAAAGTTAATAACCCTCATTTTCAAGGTGGGGGTATAAAAATGTGTGCTTTGAGCGAGGGATACTTATTTTTTTACAAATCTTACTTTATTTTATACAAATTTTAATTTGGGTATCTATAAAAAGTTTGACAAAAATCTTTAAAATAACATATTGAGCTTACGAATCACTTAAATATTTCATGCCATGCTTGATCCTGCACCAAATCTTACCACTGCTACCTGGTGACCTCTCTTGTAATATATCTCTTGTAAATGTAAATAATTATCTCAGTAATAACTCTGCACGACAAAATCCATTTTTTTTAGCATTCCTTTTGTAACTGCTCGAAATATTCATAATAGACCCTACAAAGTATATATACTCTGAATCAGCGTAAAATTCTAAGACGATGTGTCTGTCTGTCCGTCTATTACGCTGTCTTTCGAACGAATTGAGATAAAAGGCTAAGATTTTACACACATGAATATTTTACCAGTAGGCAGGTTAAGTTTGTAAATGGGCTATATCGTTTCACGTCTTCGTATAGCCCCATATAACGGTACCTGTCGATAGTGGGTATTTTTATGATTTTAGCGACATTATATACCGGAATTATTTCGTAATTGAATTTCGTATTTGAAGTTCGTAATGCGTACTACAGCCTATGACGAAAAATTTCGTATGCAGGTCCACATCTTCGTATAGCCCCCAAATAAAGGTACCTCCCGATCCCAAAATTTGCAAAATTAAATGAAACATGTAAAAAAGCACTAAGTTCGGCCGGGCCGAACTTTGAATACCCTCCACTATTTGGAACGAATTAGAAAATTAAAAAAAAATAAAATCCATTAAATTTTATTTTAAATCTTTACAATATCTAATATAGGAAGGTGCCGATATATGGGGGTATATATGATATTGTGAACCTATTAAGACAAATCTATGTCTGGGTGTCAAGCACTTGCAAGTAACTCCTTGTGTGGATTTTCAGATAATTCGATTGGAAAAAGTGGCTAAAATCATCAAACTACTGAATATCGGGGGGTATCGTTATATGGGGATATACGATATTACGGACCTATATAGACAATTCCCTTTCAGGGGGTAAAGTGCTCACAAAGAACTCCTTGTGTGGACTTTCAGACAATACGATTGGAAAATGTGGCTCAAATGATCAAAATACCGAATATCGCGGGGTACCGTTATATGGGGGATATACTATATCGTGGACCTATATAGACAATTCTCTCTCAGTGGGTAAAGTATTCACAAGGATCTACTTGTGTGATTTTGCAGACAATTCCATTGAAAAATGTGGAAAAATGTGGCATCTTCAAAATACCGAATATCGGAGGGTACCGTTATATGGGGGCTATACGATATCATTGACCGATATAGCCCATCTTCGAACTTGCCTGCAGACAAAAGAGAGATCTGTGCAAAATTTTAGCTTCCTATATTAATTCGTTTAGACTGTAGCGTGATTACAACAGAAGGACAGACGGACTGACAGGGCTTATTCGTCTTAGAATTTTACGCTGATCAAGAATATATATACTTTGTTGGGTCTAAAATGATTATTTCGATGAGTTACAAAAGGAATGACAAACTTAATATACCCTCCATACTATGTATGGTGGAGGGATAAAAAAGGCCAAAACGTACAAATACTTAAAATCGGGGTTATCCTTACAAGGGAACTATTCTAAAAGGTAGTCCGCTTTAACCCATTTTCTGTAGCAATGATTCTGGATGTAATCCAAAGATCTATACTAAATTACAAAGCTCTATCCTACATAACTAAAACTATAGGGGTCCCTCGGTATACATATGATCAAAACTTACTATGGCCTTGAATTAAGTACCCAGAAACCCTTTGGAGTTTTTATCTAAAAAAGAGTATTAAAAAGACTACTTGCCATTTTCCACAACCCAGACTGGTTATTGTAGAGTGGAATTATAAGAAAATTTGCACCATATTGGGAAAAAGTGCTAGATTTTTCGGAATTTTGTAGAATATTTTGCCATGATCCCGTTTAAAGGCAGTATTTAACTACATTTTAAACAAGTAAGCAAAGGCTATAATCGTGCCGGGCCGACCATGTGATACCCTACAACACTACAATATGTTCGAAGCCCCCTTATGTCCAAATCCATTTTGGAAGATTTCGCTTTTGAAATTATGTGACGGAGCACTGCCCAGATATTACCCTTAGCATTTTGAGCAGGGACATTTGCCCAATATTTACGCACTCCGTCGTATTTTGCGATCATCTCCAAAAGCAAGAGGCCCCTCTGTATCTCCAAATTTAGACTCTTCTATACGATCTTCTTGTCTACGATATTTGGCTATATTCGTCAACGAAATCAGCAAAAAAGGCAGAAGTTCGCATTTTGTGTATTTCGGCTATCGCCTGTAAGTAATGTTGGTATTTTTCAGACAAAAGTAGTGGTCCATTCAACCCGCTGTCTAAACTCTACCTTCATGCGAGATTTCGTGTCCTTTGGTTTCAATTTATGACCTTTATAACGGCTGCAAAATGAGGAACATTTTTAGTTGATGGTCCATTTCAACCCCTTAATATACTGCGGACATCTTTGAAAACAATAGGCCTAGCCCTTCTGAGCCTAACCCTACCCTTTTCGTGAGGATCGGACGATAATTTCAATCTGTATATAATATCCCAAACCCGTGTTGTAAGGTGGAAAACTTCAAATTGAAACAATCGCGATAAAAAATATGAAAAAATAAAAAATTTCACAAAATACTAAAAAATCTATATTAAGATCATTTTTGACTTATTTTTATGCGATTTTTTTAGATTTTATACTTTTATGTCAAGAGGGCATTCTGAATTGACAAAATTTGTCAAAATCGGTCCAGTCATTCTTGAGATATAAGCATTCCATCTAACATTCCTTTCCTTTGTATATACACATTGTATATATTTCCCTATATATATCCGATATATTTACTATCGGCATCTACGTAACGGTCAGAATTGACCTGTTCGTCTATTTATGATTTCGCCGGGACTAAAAATATTCGCGGTATAATGGAAATTTGACTTTTATTTAATACAAATGTTATAGTCTTTTTCACCCACTAAATATTACCCGATGACAATCAAAATCGGAAAGCTTCTGCCCAGCCCCATGCTAATTTTCGCGTCGATTGGTCCATAATTGTGAACTGTAGAGCAACTGCAGAATCAGGAAATTTTTCAGTTTTTGGTCTATTTCGACACCTAAATAACAATTTTCAAAAACAATTCTGACCTAATCCCCACCTCCATTTTCAATTTGGTGATGATCGGGCCATAATTGCGACCTGTAGCGTGATTACAAATTAACATGGACAGACGGACGGACGGACGGACATACATACCTAGATCGATTCAGCTCGGCGAGACAGGAAGATCCATGTATACTTTCCTATATGGGAAACCAATATTTCAAGGTGTTACATAATTTTTGGCCCAGTCAAATTTATAATACCCCCAACACAAAGTGTTGTAGGGTATAAAGAGCAAAAAAGACCGCTTTGTTTGACTAGCTTGAGAGTTAAAATATTAAAACTTAATTCTCCTCGTATTTTCATCTGAAATATTGCCGAAGACACTATATACTAAAGTGCACGAATTCCAATTAAGCTTAATGTGAATATATCTAAAAGTGTGGAAGAGGGGGTTTTGTCCTCTATATTTTGGTTACTTTTCGATGTAAACTTTTAAAACGGCGATACACGTCTCTTTCAAGTTTGTCAAGTCAAATGTTTAATCAATAACTTAAAATGTATTTTTTTCGAAACCAACTTTTTTTGAGATACATTATTATTCTATTTTTAAACCAAGTAATAACGATGTTAAGTTTCGGCCTGACTGAACTTTGTATACCCTCCACCATGTGAACATTTAAATTATGATAAAATCGGTTGTCTTCAATTTGAGTAGAAATTTGCCTATATTTCAAAAAGTTGCAAAGATGGGGAATATTTTTGCAAAATAACATTTTACCCGTTCATTTTAAAATGGCTGATGGGAACTTCAGAGTACCCATATTGATAATGGCATCTATCAATTAAGACTTCAATATATATAATATCCTAATTTCACAAAATTTATTATATCAGGCAGTGCAGGGCAGGGAAATTGTTTCCAATGTTTTCGTTACATTCTGGTACGTTACGTACCAGAATAGAGGGACATCAATTTAACCCCTAGTTTAACTTTTTCATATACTGCACGAATTCTTAAATAAAGTATTAAAACGATTAGAAGCTTATTCGAACATGACGTGGGTAAAATTATCTAATGTCTTAATAATGAAGGTGTGAACAACGATTAGAAGTCAATTTACTTTTCAATATATCTTAAATTAAACTGCCTGCAACGATTCAACATATTCTTGTTCTTCTTATATTTCCCAAAATAATGAATACAAAGCTATGGACGAAATTATTAAATTCCATTTCGAAAATACGTAATTTTGAAGTCATTTCGAATAACATCCACTTTGAGCTGATGTACTTTTCGATACAATGCACCAAACTATTATTGACCTGTGGTGATGACATTGGAAAACCCAAATCTGAAAGATATTTGCGCCATCATCATTTGTGTTTTTGTTGTTGTTGTTGGTGCTGCTGCTGTTGTTGCCCGCCACAATAAGAAGACTATTTTAAATTTTTATTGCCAAATTCATAATCTGCTGGTTGGTATTATCTGTGAAATATCTAATGCAAAGATCGACCATATAAAAACACCTACCACGCCGCAAACAGATCATAATACGACGAACAGTTCATCTGCTAAAAACGTCAAAGCTAATCAACAGCAAATAACAATAACAAAAATGCGTGCCTTTATTGTGTTGTGCTTGGTGGCCGTTGCCTGTGCCGATAAATTGGGTTATAACTATCAACCAGTTGGTCACTCCTCATCTGGATTATCCTTCACACCAGGTGGTGCTGCCAGCAATGTAGCTCCCAGCTATGGTGGTGGTGTTGGTCCTTTCGAAGGTCAAGGTTCCAGCAGCTCTCCCTCATTCGCCCCTCAAGCTGAACTCGAAAAGGAATTCTACACCTTCTCTGCCAACGATGCTGATTTCAATGAACCCGCCAGCTCCGACCAATTGGCCAATGCCGTGAAACAAGGTCTCCGTGTCATCTTCATCAAGGGCCCCGAAAACAATGGCTTGGAAGATGCCGCCTTGGCTTTGGCCAAACAAGCTGCCCAACAACAAACCGCCATCTATGTTCTCAACAAGCAAGCTGATCTCGGTGATTTGGCTAACAAGCTTAACAACCTCAACACTGGCAACAACAACAAACCCGAAGTTCACTTTGTCAAGTACCGTACTCCTGAAGATGCCGCCAATGCCCAACGTGCTATCCAAGGTCAATACGATTCTTTGGGCGGTCCTTCTCATAACTTCAATGGTGGTGTTGCTCCTGTCCTCAACTTTGCCTCCCAAGCTCCCGTGGCTGCTGCTCCCGCTGCTTCTGCTCCTGGTGCTAGCTACTTGCCTGCTTCCATCTTCCGTCACTAAGAGCTTAAGATGGTAATGTATTTTGTTGTTGTTAGATTTATAGAACAATGAAATTTGTTATTTGTTGTTTAAATCGAATTTAAATAAATTTCTTTATTTTTTGTAAATAATTTGTATTTCTTTTTTCAACTTCTATTCTTGCCGAGAACCGTAGAGAATAAGTAGAAAAAATGCAGGCATAGCATAATATAAAATTCTAGTTTATATTTCATTCAGTATTCAATTTGCAGTAGAACTCAGTAGTTTACTTTAATCTGTTACTTTTTGAACGAAGTTGGGTCAAACTCAATCTGCCTATATGTTTCTTGAAATTGGTATAGTTCTACGTATAATTAGTTGCCATTTTTTGAAAACTTTGGTTATATGGATTGACCTTATAATCCATAAAATTAAGTTAAAAAATTTGACCAGGATCTTCAAAATAAGATGAGTATTGTTCTAAGACCTGGATCTTTCGAAGATGTGTTATATTCTTTACATTACAGCCAACAGCCCAGAAAATGTATCCAGGACTTTCAAAAAAACTAAAATCGGCCAATATCATCAAACGTGGACCTTTATTGGAAATCTTTCATAGTGCACAGTTCGGACCAAGAGAGATCAAAATGCAAAATTACAATCATTGTGGTTAAAAATTGGCGTCATCTACACTATATAGCGTGCGATGAAAAAACTACAACCAACTTCAGACTGCTGTCATTTCTAAACCACTCGTTCGACAGCTGTTAAAATTATTCCAGTGACAGTTCATTATATTGCTTACAAGCGTAAAACAGCATATTAGTAAGAATTTTCCAGAAAAAAAAATTATCCGTGATAGAATTCAAGCGTGATAATGTGATTTCTTTATATTTGTCTGGAAAACCACAAGTGGCTATCGTTAGAGCACTCCAGCATTTAAATGTGAATAAATCTTTTGTGTCTAATACCATCACTCGTTACCGTAATACTGGTAGCGTAGCAAGACGTCAAGGAAGTGGACGGAATAAAACAGCAACATCAACAGAAATAGTTCGAAAAGTAAAGAAGCGACTTGATCGAAACCCGCGTCGCAGTGACCGAAAAATGGCTTGTGATCTGAACATACAGCAATATTCCATTCGGAAAATATTGAAAAATTAGCTCGGGGTAAAACCTTTGAAATTGCAAAAAGTGCAAGAACTTACACTGCAACAGAAAGAAAATAGACTCAGAAGAGCTAAAGAGTTGCTTCGTTTAGCAGAAGGTGGTGAACTGCCGAATTTGGTTTTCTTCAATGAGAAAACATTCGTTGTCCAGTAAACATCAAAATGTTCGTGTTTACTTGCCAAAGAGGTCAGCTTAAAATGTGAACCTTCGGTTGGCCACCAGAACTCAACGCGCTGCCATGGTGATGGTGTAGGCCGCCATAACGGCCGATGGCCGCTCTCCGCTCGTATTAATCGACCGTGGCATCAGAATAAATGCCGAATATTATCAAGGAAATATTCTGAAGGATGTATTAAAGCCTTGGGTACGCAAATATTTTGACCGCAGACTTTGGACATTCCAACAGGACTCAGCACCATCGCACTCAGTCATCACGCGCCACCCAAGAATGGTAACAAAATTAGGTTCCTCGCTTCATTTCCAGCGCAGCCACCAAAGTCTCCGTATACCAATACGTTGGACTATTGTGTCTGGAGTATTTTGGAAAGCAAAGTTGGCACTAAAAAATACCAAAGTGTCGATTACCTCAAGCAAGTGCTTCGCCGGGAATGGACTAAAATACCGCAGAGCAACATTCAGGCAGTTGCTCTGCGGTATGTTGGCCGTTTGAACGCCTCTTTCGTGCCAAAGTTGACCAATTCGAACAAATTTAAACTTATTCTAAAATTTGATGCTATTTCCGGCATTCTTTGCTTTCATTGAATGAATTTAAAAAAAAAAAAAAAAAAAAAATTATGGCGTTTGTCTTTGTTGCAGTTTTTGTTTATCTCACCTTGCATGTAGAGGTGCATTTATATGGGAGTTTACAAAAACTTATGCATATGGGCATATGTAGTTAACCACATACCCGGAACACAAACTGCCAATTAAAGTTAATTCGTTATAAAATTGTCACTAAAACGTTCAAAACAAAATAAATCTGTCAGTAGAGTTATATTGGCCTATACGAAAATGTAGAAAATTGACCCAAATGCAAAACAAATAACTCTACTGTCCTAAAAAAAATAAAGGAAGAAAAAACAATAAGACTTACGGACATAGCTACTTCTACATTGGTGGCTCAACAAACAAAACTGTGGCATCTGGGGTTATTGTTGCCTCTCTATTCTAAAGATGTGACTATTTAGTGTGGTCCTTACTTTTACCTTTTCATATTCCTTCAAATAGATTTCGATTTTTTCCATGGACCTATTTTTGTTTATCTGACAGTCTGTCTGTCTGTTTGTCGGTTACTTCTTAACACAAAGCTTTAATTCAAATCACGAGTCACGATACTCCATCTAATGGACGTGATGACTGCAAACTTATTGCCATCTCTAGTTACAATTAAATGGAGTGTGTGTGTAGTATTGTACCAAAGTTTGTCTGTGAGCAGGATGTGCAAACTTACGAAACTTTCCATTTCACGTTGGTGAAGAAAGTGAGGTTATTGTTAATGTTTCGGGGGTCACTCTTAAGTGTCTACTTCATATAATATTTTATGAACATAGGGAAAATGACAATAAAAGACGGATAAAACCTCTGGTGGAGTCGAATTTCAAAAGCCTTTCGTTTGCAATAATTGTTAGCGAACTATTTATTGTAACCTCCACCATAGTATGGAGGGTATATTAAGTTTGTCATTCCGTTTGTAACACCCCGAAATATACATTTTAGACCCCACAAAGTATATATATCCTTTATTAGCATAAAATTCTATGTCGATTTAGCGATGTCCGTCCGTCAGTCCTAGTTTGAGTCCTGTTAGTCGATAGAAATAACCAAAGGCAAGGCAAAGTTACTGGTCCATTTCACTTTTTTATATTTTGTGATGATCTCATGAACTTTAACTCCATAAAAAATTCAAATCGGTTTATCTGTAATGTCCCGTAGATCCGTAGGTCAATTTCGTCCCCTAAATATTTTGAAAACATTTGCAAAATTGTAGGCTCCTAGTTTGAACCTAATCACCCGAAATCCTCAAATTTCTGAATAGATGTGTTAATAAACGTTAATTTTAAATATTTGCTGCAGATATTTCTCTATCTGTCATGAACTCAAAATATTGAAAAATGTAATTTTAATTTGCTTAGTTAAGTTTTCTAAATTTTCATATTTCGGCATAGTCCCCTTACTTTGAGTGCTTACCTTTGAGAACCTATCAGCTCAGATAATAAACTATTTCTTTCAATAACGTGCCTGTAACATTTCGTTTTGTGACACCATTCTGAATTCATCAGCACTGTAGGCATTCAAGAGCACAACGTATATCTCATTGTCATGTAAGCCACATAAAATACCTTATTTTTTGCAAAGCTGGACAAAATCCCAGAGACCAGCAACAATAAAAGGCACGCTGTAGAAGTAGAAGACAAATAACCAAACGAACAAACAACTATTTTATTGTCCTGCATTCATTACAACACAGATATTTGATTATAACAATTCTGTCTATTATTTGGATAGCCAATGGAAACCAAATGAAAACAAATACAAAATAAATGGCAAATCCTTTTGTCAAGGACATTGTTAAATTTCAGTCTCACATACCTACACACGCATACAATTGCCGAATGATAAAATATTCGGTCTATTCTTAAGATGTCAAGGACATTTTAACACTGTCTGAGTAGTGACCGAGTTTTGAAAGAAGCACAAGAAAATCAAAAATAAGATGCAAAATGGGTTTTTTGCATAAATCTATTTCATATCCTCCGGTTACACTTATCTTCGACGGCAAAGTAAACATGACAAAGTTGAATGGGGTTTATCTGAATGCAAGCAACGATTTTCCTATCATTTCTTGATGAATTGTAAACAAAGTAGTAGTCCACGTAAGTAGGTCCACGTTTTGGTATAGGCCACATATAACGGTACCCCTAGATATTCGGTATTTTGATGATTTTAGCTACATTATTCACCGGAATTCTCTCAAATTTCGTATTTGAAGTACATCCCGATATTCAGTATTTTGATGATTTTAGCGACATTATTCACCGGAATTGTTTCAAATTTGGTATTTGAAATTCGTAATGGATACTACAGCTTAAGACAGAAAATTGTCCAGGTCTTCGTATAGGCCCCATATATCAGTACCTCCCTATATTCGGTATTTTGACGAGTTTAGGTACAATACCCACCGAAATTGTTTGAGATGTCGTATTTGAAGTTCGTAATGGATGATACAGCCTGTGACAGGCCCAGGTCTTCGCACAGCTCCGATATAACGGTACCTCCCTATATACGATATTTTGATGATTTTACCTACATTATTCACCGTTTATTATGACAAACAATGTCACGCTTATGACAAACAATGTCTATGTAGGTCCACGTCGTATAGACCACAATATAATTGCTATATTTGGTATTTTTAAAATTTTAACAAATTTTTTAAGGATTTTTTAAAGGGCTTTCGATATGTCGTATTTTTTCTTGAACAATTTTTCTTGAAGAGCTTTCGAGCCGTGGATTTTTTAAAGAATATTTTCTGAAGAGCCCACAAGACCTGGATTTTTAAAGAATATTTTCTGAAGAGCCTACAAGACCTGGATTTTTAAAGAATATTTTTGGAAGAGTCTTCGGTCGTATATTTCTGAAGAGACTTCGAGAGGTGGATTTGTTTTAAAGAATATTATTTGAAGAGACTTCGAGACGTGGAATTTTATAAAGAAGAATATTATTTGAAGAGTCTTCAGGGCATGGATTTTTAAAGTATAGTATTTTTAAGGAATATTTTTTGAAATGCCTATTAGCCGTGGGTTTTTAAACAATACTTTTTGATGAAACTTCAAAAGGTCGAAACAGTTTAAACGACATACAATTTTACTCTA